AGTGTATTTTAACCAATACATGATGGTCTCTGAATTATTAAGACAGAAATTAAGTTATGTGGTTGCTGTCTAAAAGAAAGGGACATCTTTAGGCTCAATGATGGATTAAAGGTTCACTGCTACTGCAGAGTCAAAAGACACAAACTTGGGAAAATACTTGCCACATATAAGAAAAAAAGTTAACTGCCTTCATATATAAAGAAATCTTAAAAATCAATAAGAAAAGGACCAAAAATCCAATAGACAAATGGAAGGGAAGTGGACAGATCACAGAAGTTAATACAAAAGGCTTTTAAATGTATAAAATGATGTGCAATTTTATATATAAAAAAGAAATGTAAATTAAAACAGTGAAATATTATTTTCACTTTTCAGGTTTTGGAGAGCAAAAGTTTGATCATGTACTGTGTTAGTGAGGATGCAGGAAAATGGGCATTCTCATATATTGATGGGAATGCAAACTGGTACGACCTCTTTGTAAGAAATTTGACAAGATTGAAATTTTACATACCCTGTTACAGTTATCTATTACTATTTAACCAACTATCCCAAAACTTAGTGGTTTATACATTTACTATTATTTTGCTTGTGCAGTTGAGGAAGGGCTACGGTGGGTGGTTGGTTCTTCTCTGATCCATATGGTGTTATTCAGCTGGGGTGACTGATACTGGAGGATTCAATTCATCTTTCACAAATTTATCCTATAAATAAACTCACAAATGTGAGCAAGGATATATAAACAAGCATATTCATGACGGAATTAGTAATAGCAAAAGCCTGGATTAACCTAAATGTCCTTCCATAAGGGATTGGGTTAAAAACCCTATTTATTTATGTCCATGCCAATGGATAACTGTGCACCTGTTAAAAGGAATGATACAGCTCTAGGTACTAATAGTGAATGAGCTCCAAAATAAAACTTCAAATAAAAAATTCAGGTGTTGGGGGAGGGTCTAGCTCAGTAGTAGAGTGTGTGCTTAGCATGCAGGAGGTCCTGAGTTCAATCCCCAGTACCTCCATTAAAATAAATAAATAAATATACCTAATTACCACCCCCCTGCCAGATCCAGATGCAGTGCATCTTGAAAATGTACCTATGGAAAAAATGCTCTTACAAGCCCTTTCCGATAACCCCCTGGAAACAATGTATGAAACTTAGCCCAGGTACATGTTGGACTACTGAGGGCACACAGAGAGAAGGAAATCCTGACTGGGGTCTTGATCCTGCTCACTTCTCGTCTTCCCCGTGCACTTTCTAGTCCGGCTCAATATGAAGTCCAAATCCTGCCCTCCCAGGAAGGCTGTGTGGACACCCACATCTTGCAGTTCTTTCCATTGTCATGTGAAAATGGCCTTTGGAAACAGCCATCAGAGGGTTACATTTTGCCTCTACTTGAACAAGATATTTAATCTCTTTAAGCCTCAGTGTTCTTACTTGTAAAGTGAGGTTATAATGATACCTACCTCTCAGGAATAACAGGGTTAAAAAATAAAAACAGTAGAGTACTTAGCCCAGCACCTGGCAGCAAAGACGTGGTCTTCAGTATCCAAACCACTGCCATCTCCCATCACCCAAATCCAACAGGGAAAGGGTGGGAACCAAAGTGAGAAAACCACAGAGATTTGTGAGGTGGGCAGTTGCTTTGGTGTAGTTTTGTCAGCTCAGATTACAAGCTCCAAACTGCACTGATTGGAGGCCCACCACCTTCCCACTACAGCTCTTGAGACAGAGCCTGGCTGGGAATAGCCAGTTCTGTGGCTCTAACCCTGGCTAAGCCCAGTCACCTAGGGGGCTCTTTAAAAGAGCTGTCTGAGGCCTGGGAAAGTCCTGCAATACTGAGGGACACAGGCATGTCTTTTGATGTAGCAAAAGAACATAATTAATAGGTGCATGTCTCCATCTTCACCAGGGCCCCTGCTCCCCAGCCGCTGCCACTAAAAGAGATTCCACCTTTGCAGCAGTTTCTTCCTCTTCCTCCCCTTCAGGATTCTTTGGGCTTTTGTAATTCAAGAGATGCCCTCCAGTCAAAGACCACCAGGAATACACCTGCAGTTGAACAAACTGGTGCATAATTGTTGCAGTGAGGGGAACAAAGGGGATGGAAAACTATGGAGCATCTTGGTAAGAGGGCATGAGGAAGGACTTACAAGATTTGGGCTAGTGTTAGTGATTTTGGAGACAGTCAAAGAAGCAGGACTTCTCTCAGTGTTTGATGCTGTCAGGAAGCAACATTGATTCTATGACTGGGTATCTTAATTATATCTAGAAAGGGGAACGACTAGAGCAAAGCTAAGGCTGAAATTGGTAGGGAAACAACACTCACCCATTAGCCACGACAGAAAGATGTTTGGTCACTTTTGTGACTTGGACAATGATCATGGTTTCCCTGTGTTCCAAGATGATGATAATGTGATCTTGTTTTTGTCTTGATCCATCATGGTTATAGATGGCCTTTTCTGATGCTGATGTCCTGTGAAATTGTTTCTGTGCAACAGGAGAACTCCAAGGCCTTGACTGTGAATGTCAGGTCAGTTCCTACAACACCAAGGATTAGCTGATAGTCTCAGGCCAACTTCCAGATGTCAGCGGCTGCTTTTCTCTTTCTCAGAAGAGAAGAATCAGGCAGACAAGTGGGTGGATGGGATTTCAGTTTTCAGAGAGTTAGAGAGTTTCTGTAGCGTGTGCAAGAGGAGGGTGTGGAGGGAGGAGGGGTTTAACAAGAATTACTGTGGACATCGTGTCCACTTCATGGTTTTCAAGAAATACACATTTTCAAAATATGAGTTAAAATATTGAGCAATTTGAATTGGCTTTTGGTTGCTGGGTTGTGTTCCCTCTATTGTGATACTGCTCTGAGGCCAACCATGTGGATTAGGGTCTTAAAAGGGCAGATGTTCAAAGCTAAGAAGTTCTGAGCCATTGTCTTAGAGTCCAGAGCTGCAGCTCCATGTGAAGCCGATGGCTGGGTTGGGGTGGTGTTTGAAGTAGATCAGTCAGAAGCCAGGCTCAGGTACCTGCTTCACCTCCCCTCCCCAGAAGATCCCAGCAGACAGAGTTCCTCAGGCTCTCAGTGCCCCCTGACCCCCAGTCTGAGTTCTAAGTCCTGGTTATTACCACCAATAAATCTGGTCAGCCAAGGATGCCAAGATGGGGGATACAGTCCCTGCCCCCGGGCATGCTGATTCTGTGGGAGAGTGAGAGCAGCCACACCAAAAGCAGAGAGACCTGAGCACTGAAGGGGCTCAGCAAAGGGCCCTCAGCCCCTTCCAGGGATGGAAAAATTCTTGGCAGAGCAAGTATTCATAGAATAGAAGTTTGGAAAGTGGGGGGCAAGGAAGGCTGAGGACATAGCAGGGAGGAATGCACCGTGATAGATGAATTTAGATAATTTCTTAGAGCCTGGCGATCCCCAAAGGTGAAAACCTTGAGAGCCAGACTCCACAGCTGGAGTATAGTATAGTCCAGAACCTAAAGGACCCACTGAGATGAAGTGAAGACACAAGTCAGCAGTTCTCCCCTCCTTCCCCGCCCTCCTCTTTCGGGTGGCTGGCCAGAAGGGCCCACACTTTGAGGGGTAGTGGGAGAAATAAGAAGAAAAGGGGCAGAAATGGGAGAAAAGAGCCTATAGTGGGAATCAAAAAGCTGGAAGAGTTTTGGAAATGGAGGGTCTGGAGGGAGAACTGGTCAAGGACTACTTTAGCATCGAGCTGCACTCAGAAGGGGAGGGACAGAGGCATGAACCACCGACAGAGGCGGGTCTGTTTACTTGGCCAAGCTTGAAAGTAACGGGGTGGCCGTCAGAAGCCCTTGGGACCCCGCCTGGACTTTCTCACCGAGGAGGCTGTTGGGACCCCCGGGCACTCGAGCCCGCGCACCAGCAGCGATGAGAACGCGCCCGGCCGGCCCGCGCTAGAGGCGGGCGGGAAAGCGCCGCGGTCGCCCGTCCCCTACTTTCCCGCTTCTCCGACCGTAGCAAGAGGCCTGTGCCGGGTAGGGGAAGGAGCGTCCAGCCCCTGGACCCGAGTCTAGGCCGGCCAGCGGACACTACCAAGCGGCAGGTGGCTCCCGGGACAGCGCCGCAGCTCC